GATCTCGCTTTTCCCCTCTCGCTCTCCCCCCCCCCCCCCTCCCTCTCTCTCCCCCCTCCCTCCCTCCCTCTCTCTCCCCCTCTTCCTCTCCGCTCCCTCCCTCTCTCTCTATCTCTCTGAACTTGCTATTTCCTGAGCTGGTGCTTGCAGTTTAAAAAGAAGTACAGGTAGTCCTCAATTTACAACCACAGTTGAGCCCAAAATTTCAGTTGCTAAGTGAAGCATTTGTTAAGTGAGTTTTGTCCCATTTGTCGCAGTTGTTTTAAGTGAATCACTGCAATTGTTGAGTTAGTAACAATTTAAGTTCAGTGAATCTGGCTTCCCCATTGACTTTGCTTGTCAGAAGGTCAAAAAAGACGATCGCATGATCCTACGACACTGAGATTGCTATAAACGCAAGCCAGTTACCAAGCATCTGAATCTTGATCACATGACCAGGGGGACCATTTTTCACACTTATGTCCATTGCAGCCTCCCCATGGTCATATGTGTGAAAAATGGTCACAAGTCACTTGTCGTCGTAACTTTGAACGGTCACTAAACAAACTGCTGTAAGTTGAAAACTACCTGTACTCCATGTTTTCAAGAAGTTCAGTTAAATATCATAACCATAATCACTTGGAAAATTTGGAGGACAGATGAAAATACTAAAAGTTATCACCTAATTAAAGAAAACCGTCTTTAATGAATCATCTGTTTAATCCACTGACTGGCAAATTTTGGGCCTGTCTAGTTTGCACATCTCCTGCACGCATCTTTGTTATGGTCATGTTGACAATAATTGATTAGGCTTGAAATTCACTCCATCTGGTTGGCACCAAAGTCCCTTCCCTCTTATTTATTCCATGAAATGATTGAATCCATATACAGGAGAGGAAAACTGGCTAGTTTCACCCTCAACCCAGGTTAAGGAAGGGCAGTTGTGCTGGTAGATCATGCTGTAATCAGATAAATATGCTCTTTTATTGTTGAACGTAATGGTCTGATTAGAAGACATCAACCACGCAGCACCCAGAGGTTTAGCATGTTGGGCAAGCTTTCCTGGTCAGTTTTTGTTTTTTTTAACAAAGAAGAACTAAATTCTGATTAGTAATCACAGGCCTAGTGTTGAATTGAAGGGATTTTGGACCATCTTCATGCAGTTTTTAGCTCTGTCCCCCAACCTTCCACCATTGGTGTATTGCTCAGGGACTCCTAAAATAATTCCCCTGCCTTCCCTCTTTTCTCCAACAGCTGTCTCTGAAGTGCCGAGCCCCTGAAGTCTCCCAGTATGTCTACCAAGTCTACGATGCCATTTTGAAAAACTGATCTCTCAAACCACACCACCACTGCCAGCACCTCACCACATGGGGAACCGGGAGCGGGGCTAACTCCACATTCTACTGCCACCGCCCGTGTGTTGGTGTAGGCCAAGAACATTCCTTCCCTCGATTTGGGAAAAGCAGCTCTGTGTTGTGTCCGAGATCTCAGCTCCAGATGCTGAGGCTAAACCAAGGTAGCAAGTAGTGTCCACTTGCCGGTAACAGTAGGGGATGTGGCATTTGATACTTTTAGCATCTGTGAGAATTTTGTAACCACTCCGCATCAGCTGTTTTTGCAGTCCTGTGTGCCATGTCTTTTCTCATTTGTTCCTGTGGCTTCATCATCTTGTGCCAATGCTTTGCATTTTCTAAAACCACTGTCGGCCTCTGGTTAATATTTTGTAATATGCTTCTTTGTTTTAATAAATGCATATGCACACACAATACACACACACACACACACACACACACACACTGCCCAGCCAGAGGCATCTGAGAGAAAACACACACACTGCACTTTATTCTTTTGTATTTGCGTACTGCTGATTAATTTTTGTAATGAACCAGCCGTCTACAATAAGCAGGAATAAAGGAGGGGCATTGAAACAAGACTAGTTGTACAATTGTTGCAAGGAAACCAATGCTGGCTTATTGATTTAACCTTGGGAAATTCGATTATCTGGTACGAATTGTAGTTTATTATTATTATTATTATTATTATTATTATTATTTAAGGCCTCTCCATGCCTGCCCTCCCTTATAGACTGAAAATCCCACCATTCACTAAAAGCTAATCCTGTGGACACCGGAGGGTTTGCAGCTGAAGAGACAATCTATTGCTCTTTGAGCTCCGAGGGATGAAAATTGAGAGGCAATGCCTCTTATTGCCCCTGCATGCATCAGTGTGTACCACAGCTCCATATTCTCTTTTCCTGTGCTGCCAATTGAACAGTGGGTTCTGATGGCTTCGGGCATATGTGGTCTATTTGGAAAAAAGAAAAACCCATGGCAGCCAAGACGGGCTTTCAGAAGTAAATCAGAACGGTAGGTAGCAAGGCTGGGAAAAGAAAAAAGGCAGAAGAAAGGGCAGTTTGGTTATCCTGGCAGTTTAATCCAGTTACGGTTTCCTCTTGACCTGGGTGTCAATCGCACTGGGCAAACTCCTACGGTGCCCTTCTTTGCCATCTCTGTAATGGAATCTCTTTGGCAGCCTAAAACCGGGATATTTTTCTGCCACCACATAAATGTACCAGATTCAAACCATGCCCCAGTATGGCTGAAATGGGCTCTCTGCTCCAACCATACTCATTCCACCAGGGTATAACCTTTAGCGAGGATCTACGCCCTTCAGACTTCAAGTTCTTTATGTGGAATCTGGTCTCATTGTTAGCCTCCCTAACGTGTTCTGTCTAAGGAAAGATAAGAGAGTCTTTTTCTTCCCTGTCAGCTGCCTCCTGGCTTGTCTGTCTTTTTTCTCCTATGCCCCCCATCTCCATTGCCCCCTTTCTTGTAGCTGTTTTATTCCCCGCCCTATTTGGGAGATGTAGTGTCTAGGAGATCCTCTGAGCAAATTCTGTGTTGCAATGATGCAGCTATTCCGGGAGGCTTCAGTTTCCTCCACCCACCTACTCCCGCATAAGGAGCATGCATAAACTTTTCAGTGGGTTGCTACATTGCCTTTGAAACTTGTGTATAGAACTAGGCCAAGATAACAGTCAATGGGCTTGGTGGGAAAGCCCCTTCTTATTTGTCTATGGAGATTATCAGTCATCCAGGTCATGGTTGTCCCAAAGGTGCTTTTTCAAGATGTAACTGGACTTCCTTGGTTTACTTTGAAGATGTTACACTTCTCATCCAAGAAGCTTCTTCAGCTCTGAATGGATGGTGAGGAATGGGAGGATTTATATTCCTTGCAGACAGCTGGTCATTTACATCCTTTTAGAGAGTCCTTGAGGCCACCTGGAGGTTTATCTCTGTCCTCAAGGTCACCTGAGTAGTGCAAATGAGTGTGGAGCCTTCGTGGAACTGTTGAAAGGACTGTGTTATAGACCAGAGATAGATGACACCGTACCCCTCCCCCTCTGTTGAGAGAGGGCTGCTCAGTTTTGACACAGGTGACCTCTTTCAAACCAGTGGTCCTCTCTGTCCAGAATGTGGACTTTGCTGTTTTCAAACAAGTGGCCTTTGTCTTTTAAATGCAGATGGCGTGCCCAATCTTGTCCTGATGTGTTTGTTCTTGTATGTTGTGCCATACATTTATGAAGTAATTGTTTTGCTTCCCCAATGTACAATGTCCAGCCATCTGCAAGAAGTATGTCTTCCATTTCCCACCATCCAATCAGACCTGAAGAAGCTTCTCAGATGAGAAGCAAAACATCTTCAAAGAAAAAACAGAAAGTCCAGTTGCCTCTTGAAAAAAGCACCTTTGAGACCTCTTCTTATTTGGAACTTAAAGAATCACTCACCTGTGAACATAATAGGCAGTTCACTAGAATCTACTCTTTAAGTTCTGGTCAATCTACGTCTTTCAAAATCAGAAATATATTTTCACTCGGCTAGTCCTTATGCTCCTATAAGTAGTCCTTGCTTAATGACCATGATCCGTGATGGTTTTTGCCAGTTTCTAGCATTTTTTGCTGATTTCTGATTTAAAAAACCCTCCCATTCAAATGAACAACATTCACTTAATGACTACTCAAAAAAGGCCAGAAAATTACTTCTAGTCACATGAGTGCCAGTACCTCGACTTTTGATGTAATGACCTACTGGGCTTAATTACAATCATGTATCAAGGACTACTTGCAATTCCATCATGCTTGCTTCATAACCACATGAGACCTTGCTTTTTTCGGTCAGGTATCAAACTGCATTTCCAAACTCTTAATTCCTTCATGAACATCTTGGGGTTCATGGCTAATTAAGAAGTTACACTGGGTCATAAGTGTCTTCATTGGGTCTTTGCCTGCATCTTGAATCTCCTTTGGAAAGTCTAAAGGCTGTGATTTCAGGGACCTGCATAGCCGAATTCAATACCCCCAGCTGACAGATCAAATAAGCACTTTGTCATCTGCCTCTTAAAACTGGGAGTTCTTGAGCATCCTGCTTTTGGCTTAGCCTGATTCCCGTAATAAAATAACCACAGATATGTTTGTGTTGTCATTGCACGACTGCCACATGCTGTGCAAGGGCCATGGTGACGCAGCAGTTTAGAATGCAGTACTGCAGGTCTAACTCACTGCTCGCTCCCGGAGTTCGATCCTGAGCGGCTCAAGGTTTACTCAACCTTCCATCCTTCTGAGGTGGGTAAAACGAGGACCCAAATTGTTGGGGGCAATAGGCTGAATCTATAAACCGCTTAGAGAGGGCTGTAAAAGCACTGTGAAGCTGTATATAAGACTAAGTGCTATTGCTATTAGGCGGCCCAGGAGGCACAATGGCATTGTGTAACTCAGGGATTCGAAGTTGCAGTGCTAGCTCAAGATTGTTGGTTTCATAGCAAAGAGGCCAGTGACACTCTGAAGTTGCAGGATCCCAATTCGTGAAGATTTGTGCCTGGCCCTCAAGGAAGTTGTCCCAGGCAGAGATTCTCTGACTCTTCCATGCAGGGCTGCATTTACTCTAACTTGCCAATTACTTCTGGATGTGCTAAGTGAAGTCACAGAAGACTCCTGTTTCTCCTACTTTTAAAGGACTTCCTGCCAGAGCTCAATGCCCGATTCCCATCAACCAGGTGGGATGGAGGAAGGCACATACAGTTGTTATCTTTTTGTCAACATTTAGATAGTAAAAAGGAGGGCCTAGAAACTTAGAACCAGAGCGTTTTCAAGAGGTATCTCTTGCAATGAGACAAGTGGAAGCTGTTTTACAAGAATAAATGCTTTGGAGCTCTTCCACCTCCAAATCTATGATGCCCAACATCAGTAGAGCTGGTGTCCAAAGACCAAAATGAAATAAAAGTAGCAGGCAAGGCCCCAAACCTGTTTGAAACTGTTTTCTTCTTCTGGTGGACCTGGTGCTGTTATTCTTTGACTGCATGCCATGAGATGTGTCCAGAGGGGAGTAGAAGACAATTCCCCCCCCCATCTATTCAGAACCATTTGACACCTGAGGGAAAGGGGGGGGGAATTGGATGGTGGGTCTGAACTTTGCTTTGTATCAGCAATAAATGTAATTTATGCAATTAGTCACATCTGATACTAACTTCGGTCAGGAATGGCAACAGAACTAAGGAAGCGGGAGGCAAGGCATTTAGTGGAGTCCTACTTTTAAGCTGTAATAGAGAAGTCTCCAAATTTGGCATCTTTACGACATGTGGACTTCACCTCCCAAAATTCTAGGAGTTGAAGTCCACAAGTCTTAAAGGTGCCAGGTTTGGGGACCCCTGTTGTAATGCAACTCAAATTGCTGTTAAGTCTTCCAATTGGGAGCTTCATAATTACTGGGGAGAGATCAGGCTGGTTATTTTATTTATTTCCAATCCATCCTTCAGGGTAGGACCCAAAAAACCCTTCCGGAGACAGGTTTGCATATAACACAAAACAATAAAAGTGAGTTGAAAAACCAAAGACTATGAAAGTTAAATACAGAGATTTAAACCCATTGAAAAGCAATGACCTCTCTTCTGAACAAATCCTTGAGCAATGCAGTACTTCTTTAGGGGAAAGTTTGAGTCGGTAATACTTTTTCTTTCTGATCAGCTTTCCCATTCACGTGTCTTACCTATGTGGTGTGCTTGCTCTCCATCTAGAATAACCCATGGCTAATGAAGGGATGTAATATTTGACTGGCACCATGGATGTTCCATCTAACACAGAGGCCTTCTTTCTACAGCTAATCTCTTCAATGTGCGATACGATGTTGTGCTCATTATACAGCATATATATCTGTACTGTAAAGTTTCAATGGGATGCTCATTCCCCCCAAACTGGCTGGTGACAGGGGCAGGGGGTGAGGCAAAGTAAGGTTCAGTACTTGATTATTATTTTTTTGTCGTTAGAATGGTGTAGGGATTTCTGCTTTCTGGTGGCTTTGTTACGTTGGCTTGCTTTGGTTATGCAGAAATAGATGTTACAGTGAGTTTAGGTGTTATGGTGTTACGATGTTTGTAGTACTGTAACTTGAGAAAATATTGCATAGTTCTTTAATATATGATTACTGCAACAGAAACATTTTATGCAAAATATTGGATCTCAGGAGACAGAAGATTGGGAAAATTACATGTGTGATTAACATGCTGCCCTAGTTAACTAATTATGTAAAGTCTAAAGGAGGCAGGTGATGATGTAGCCAATTTATTAAATACACTGTATAAAGGTAGGACGTGGATACAAATGGACGGTGTATGTTCTCTACAAAATCTTAAGTATCTCCACACAACAAATTTACCATTGGTTTTGTACCCGTCACGGCTACTCCCAATAAATCCTGGTATTGTAGTTTGATGAATGAGATTCCTGTTTGTTTGGTTTTTTCCCTGCTTGCGGACATGGAATAACCGAAATGGCCTAAGCCTGTAATGTAGGGGTGTTGAACTCAAGGCCCTTGAGCCAGATTCGGCCTGTGGGGTGCTTAGATCTGCTCCGTGGGGCCGGCCTGGAGACAGCGAAGGACCAGCCCATGGTGTCTCTGTCAGTGAAAATGGGCTCCCAGTCTCCATTTTCGGCTGGGAGGTCCTCTTGCAACCCTCTGCTAGCAAAAATGGAGCTCAGGAGGCCCATGCGGCAGAGAGTGGCAGGAGGCTGTCCCACCCGAAAATGGGGATCGGGAGCCTGTTTTCGCTGGCAGAGCACTTGGGCCACCACAGGGACCCCCGACACGAGCTGGCCATGCCCCCCTGTCCCCCAAGGTCAAACACAGACCTCAATGAAATCGAGTTTGACACCCCTGCTGTAATGTGAATGAGTTTCCTGCATCCAAAAGGGCAGTTCAGAGTGAACAAAACTGCTTTGTATTTGAAAGCCAACTGGGAATTCTGGGAGCTGAGCCCGACATAGCTGATAAGCATCAGATTAGGGAAGGCAATTGTAGAACACAATAGCCAGAAATGCTGATGGGTGGTACCAGAGAGACATACCAAAGACAAATCAAGGCTAATTCTTGTTGGGAGAGACAGCTCAACAATCCATGGGTGCTGAAGCATGTAGGATTTTAAAGGTTTGAACCACCCTTGAATTGGACCCAGAAATCTACAGGTAATCATGAAATAACCTCACAACACAGGTGTCATGCTACTAACCCAATTCTTCCTGCCAACAGTTGGGACTTTGCATTTTGAAGCAATTACAGGTTCCAAATCATCTGCAAGGGCAGCCCTACAAAAAGCACACTGCAATCATCCTGAAAACTCCCTTCCACTTTCGCTCCTCTTTATTCCCTACGGGAGGAGCCATTCACCATCCACCTGTACCTTTACTCCCGAGTTGGCCCTTGTTCCTTAGCTGTTCCCTTCTCCTGGCAGCTCTGCGCACATTGGGAACAGGCTCCAGCTGTTCTTCTGCCCCACTGATGTCCAACTCTGAAGATAGCTGGTAACTGTCAGACAGCTCTGGCCCCATCTCTGCCTCCGACACAAAGCCCTCATCAGAGCCTTCCCCAGACTCCAGGACTGGCCCGTGTTCCTCCCCAACCCTCCTCACTGTCTGAGTCTGACACCAGTTCTGCTGGCCGCCCGCGGGCCACAACAATGCCCCCATATCTAGAGACAATCGGAATTGAAATTAAGAATGAGTCAAGTCAGCCAATTACAAATATCAACATTTTTTTTGCAGGGATTTAAATTCCAACCAAATTGGAGCTCCTTGAAATACAGGTAGTCCTCG